CTAAGCACAAAACAAAGTATTCATAGCTTTTGCATTCAAGGAAAAATATTTTTTCTCAAAATCACTCCATTCATTCATAGATTTAGAAGATGTTTGAAAACCAAGTTCAACAATATTCCATGAATCAAAGCTCATAGAAAGTAAGAAAACTCTCATTCGAGTTTTCCAATAAGTATAGTCCATCCCATTGAACATATGAGGATGAATGATAGAGTGACCCTCTTGAAAGCCGAAATGAGTCATTTCTCTTGGGTGTTAAACCAAACGAGAAAAAACATGGCTCTGATACCAACTATTAGGATTGAGTCGGCATAGGCGGGGGAGGGGGGGGGGTGAATTAGTGCAGCGATAAAATCACATCTATTTAGAAAATTTTGTTCGATAAAACCTCCTATCGATAAAGCTGGTATAGGAAATATGTTTAACTTGAAAGCATACGAAAGTGTAGAGAAAGTAAAGCAGTATGCAATATAACTAAATAGTAAAGAAGAGAAGGAAGAGAATGCACACCAAATTTATAGTGGTTCAGTCATCGTGACCTACGTCCACTCCTGATTCCTCCTCCGTCGAGGCCACCATCATTCACTAATGGTCTTCCTTCAATGGGTGAAGACCAACTACCTTCTTACAACACTTTCTCCCTTTCATAGGTTTGCGAGATAACTCTTACAAGTCACTCTTTTATAAGTATTCTCTCACACACCTCTCTTAGGACTAACTCTAAACACTAGGAGGAGGGAACTCAAAGTTTTGGTAGAGTTTATTCAGTTTTTTCCTCAAGAATTCTTGCTCCTTTCTTGCTGCCCAAGTGAGGTATTTATAGGCCCCAAATGGTTTCAAAAATAGAGCCAAAAATTTAAATTTTTGGATCTTTCGGGTATAGATAGTACCACCGCCTACAGCCTAACACTAGGCAGTACCACCGCCTGACAGCCTCAGAGACCGGGTTTTTCGAGTTTTCCAACTCATAGGTGGTTCCACTGCCTATTCTGATGATGCCACCGCCTAACCCAACTTTTTGGGTCACTGAATAGGCCTTCCAATGAGCCCAAATCAATCCCAATTAAAGCCCAATTGACCCATAATTGAGTTGACTTAATTATATTCTAAACCAACCTAATTATAACTTAAACTAATTTAATCTAGATAAATTATTACAAAGCATAAATTATCTATTGTTTAGCATGTTATTGGTTCTTCTAGCACTTTGTCTGATCCTTCAGCGTATCGTCCTCTCCTTTGGTTTATTGCCCAATAGGCATGTTGACACCTGTAACTTCCGATCTCCTTGGCTCAATGTCCGATCCATCGGGCCGATGCCCGAATTCACGGCACGAAGCCTTCTGCCGACACATCAATCGATCCTTCGACCCGACGTCCAATCTTCTAACATGTTCACTCCGGACCAACGTATGATTCCTCCTACTTCAATCAATTTGTCTCTCCTTGATCGAAATTAGTCCTGCGTCACTCAAAACGTAGATTAAAACATAATATTATTAATTAGTTTCATTATCAAAATCCAAGATCCAACATAGCACACCAGTCTGTTTAGTTATCTCGATGTCCCTCTCGAGTAACCTATGATAGGAATTATTTAGGATCTATGTTTAAAGGTGAATTAGTCTCATTATCGTGATCTCATCATGATCTGATTTTTATTGCAAAGATCCATGGACATTATAATATATTCAAGTAACAAGTAATATAAAGTGATAAAATGCCAAATAATAATAACAAGCAAAAAGACTACGTGTCAAGTCACATATGTCATCACTCAAGTGATTGGCTTCCAGGACACCTATGACTAGTAGTACCACCACCCGATATAGTCTTGGAGATTGTGTTTAAGTGATACCACTGGTAGACCCTACTATAGGTCACTAAATTGGCCAAACAATAGGCCAATTTAGCCCTGATTCAAGCCCAATTGGCTCATAATCATGTTGGTATGGTTATACCCAAAACCAACTCAATTAGACCTAACTAACTCGATCTAGACATACACGATTACAAGCATGAATCTTACGTTGTCCAATATGCCATTAGTTCGTCCGACTCTTCATCCAATCCTTCGGCGCATCGTCCTCTCTTTCGGCGTATTGCTCAATCGGCATGTTAACTCCTGCAAATTCCGATCTCTTTAGCACAATGTCTTATCCTTCGACTCGATGTCTGAACTCATTGTTAGGATCAAGAGCACTAAGAGGGGGGGGTGAATTAGTACAGCGAAAAACTTTCATCGGTTAAAACAACTTTCGTACGATGAAATATGATTTCGATGAAAACCGTTTCGGAAAGATCTTTTAAGTTGAGAGCAAGCGGAAGTTTAGTTGATGTAAAGTAATGAAGGCAGTTTGCAGTTAAGATAAAGAGCAAAAAATAAATGCAAACTGAGATTTAGAGTGGTTCAGTCAATCTTGACCTACATCCAATTTTGGCTTCCTCCTCCGACGAGGTCATTGACGTCCACTAGAGGCCTTCCTTCAATAGGCGAAGGCCAACCACCCTTTTACAGCTTTTCTCCTTTTGATAGGCTTAGGAGACAACTCTTACAAGTTTTCACTCCTCTCTTGAATGATCAACACTTAGAAAGAAAGAGGGAGAAGAACTCTAGCTTTTACAACACTTTTAAGCTCTCAAATACTCAAAATTAAAGCAAGCTTTCGGTTCCCTTTCGTGTAGGAAAGTGTGGGGTTTATATAGGCTCCAGCAAACTCCTGGCAAGCTCCTGGACTTCTCGGATTGTTCCCACAGAATTTCCGATGAATGCTCCGACTTCCGACGAACTCTCGAACTCCCAACGTGATCTTGGTCTTGACTCCGACTCAATACCTACTGCATGTTTTACTGTCATTGTAGTTAGTCCTGCACACTTATCTTAATATATAGATTAGATAAATAAATGACAAGTGACTTTATCATCAAAATTCGAGATTTAACACTTAGCACGAAGTCCTTCCGACCCGACGTCCAATCTTCTAACATGTTCTACTCTGGCCCAATGTTTGATTCTTCTTACTTTAATCAAATTATCTTTCGTTGATCGAGGTTAGTCCTGCATCACTCAAACACATATTAGATCATAATTTCATTAATTAATTTTATCATCAAAATTCAAGATTTAACAAGTAGTATAGCCCACTGCCCAAGTTGTACCTAAAAACCCAATTATTTAAATTTTTAGTTTTATTTTTGAAGTCATTTGAGGTCTATACATGCCTTGCTCATGCTTGCTTAATGAAGCAATGAAAAGCTTATGATTTTAAAATATTGTAAACTCTTAAAAAATGTTGAGTCTCTTCCTCTAAGTTTAGAAGTTATTCTAAATGAGGTGTAAGGTTTTTTTGTAAAAGAGTATAATAGTTTTCTATTAGTGAAAAGGAAAAAGAGTTATAATAAGGGTAATAGATGACCGAACCATTATAAATTTGGGTTGTATTTCTCTTTATGATTTTCATTGCTATTACTAACTGATTTTGTTGCTCGCTACTTTTACTTACATTCTAAGTTAAACGTATTTTCAATACGGGTTTTATCGATCAAAAAGTTTTAAATTAAAATATTATTTCAAAAGTACTAATTTATCCCCCGCTTATTGTCTTTACAATCCTAAAACGTGTTAAAAGGATCGAAAATCGTATCAAAAGATTGGATGTCATGACGAAATCAATATGATAAAAGATTGAACAATATGATAAAAGAATATGATGATGGGCTAGATATTTGGAGAAGGCATGACGAAAGAATTATCAATATGTTGAAAGTTTTGAAGATATGTCAAATAATTAATGAGTTAAGATCTTGATTAATGTAATCTTAGGCTAATTTGAGTTTATATTAGGTTGAAATAAAACTCATTTATTATAAAGATTATTCATTGTCAAAAATGAGATATTGTCGCTTTTTTTTGTCTCTCATCTCACCCTCTAGTTTCTGCGTTCAAAAAGGGACTAGAACTAATTCATTGATAGAAAATGGACTAATTCGATTTTATAAAAAATCATTAGATTTGTTTAAAGTAACTTAATTTATTAAAAAAATATGTGTATTTTTGATAAAAAAAAATGATTAGAAGGATTTTTTTTTATAAATTATCCTAATCTTAAAATATATATAATATAGGATAAAAAATTGATGAAGATTTTAGCAGATATAAATTGATCACGATGTAATTTTATTAAGTAATAAACATTTTGATTTAATAATAAAAATAATATAAATCTATTTAAAAATATTATAATTAGTTTCGGTAATCATTCGACCGATTAAAGTTGGGCTCTCCATAAATAATATAAAAAAAGTATATTTGATCCGGTAAAATACAAAAAAGATTTGAGATGTTTTCTAAAAATCGTCAGTAAATAAGTAACTCGGAAACTTAATTTTTCAGGTATTATAACACTCAATATCTTTAGATCGACATATATACATATGTATATATATACATATGTATATATGTATGT